TAGTTAATACATTGCTTTTTGTTTCCTTTTTTGTGTATTGGTACAATAACCCCTTCTTTCCATTCATCTGGCATTGTTTCTTCTTGCCAAATGTCTTGAATTAGCTTGTATATCGAACTGTACAATGCTTCTCCTCCATGTTTTAAGCACTCTGCGGGTATACCATCGCTACCTGGTGTCTTATTATTTTTGAGTTTTTTAATTGCCTGTATTACTTCTTCGTATGTCGGGTATTGGTCTTCTATTTCAGCTGTATGTACCTCTATGTTTGATGTACTTCTGCTAGATTGGTCATTCAATAGTTGATAGAAGTATTCCTTCCAGGTTTTTAAGATTTCCTTGTCATCAGTGATAAGCTGTCCACTGTCGTTTTGAAGAAAGTTTCCTGTTCTTGCTTGGTACCCGGTCTTGATATCTGAGACTCCTTTAAAGAACTGCCTCGCTTGTTTGTTCTTTCTTTTTTCTTCTATTTCTCTGATTATTTGTTCCTGATACTCTCTCTTCTTCCTTTTCATTAGTTTTCTTGTCTCTGTTCTTCTTTGTCTATACATTTCATTGTTGTTGTGCGAGGGGCTTTGTAGCATGTTCCTTCTAGCCATATTTCTTGCTAATATGGAGTTCAGGCAATCATCATCGAACCATTTTTTTGTTGTTTTCTTTTTGTGTCCTAGTATTTCATCTGATACGCTTGTCAGAGCTACTTTGATATTTTTCCAAGCTGAGTCTATGTTGTTATAGTTTTCTGTCTGTGCTAGAGCGATTTTTATAGCCTTTTGAAATTTCTGTTCTGTCTCCTTATTACGTAGAACTTCGGTATTCCATAATTGTGTTGGTGTATTCTTGTCTGTTTTTTTTGGACGCTATTCTTGTCCTTATCTTCGCTTTTACAAGAAAATGATCCGTGTCTCCATCAGCTCCTCTTAGGCTTCTTACGTCTAGACAGTTACTACCCCTCCTGGCATCTACTAGAACATGATCAATCTGATTTATTGTGACGCCGTCGTTGGAAACCCATGTTTGTTTGTGTATATTCTTGTGTTCAAACATTGTCGATTTTATTAGTAGATTGTGGGATGCTGCAAAGTCTATTAGCCTTGTTCCATTATCGTTGCTAACATCGTGAAGACTATGGTTACCTATTGTTGGTTTGTACTCTGCTTCCTTCCCAATCTTTGCATTGAAATCTCCTAAGATAATATGCATGTCCTGTTTAGGTAAATTATTTATCAGTTCCTCTAGTTTCTCGTAGAAGTTATCTTTTACATGCTCTTCCTTTTCCTCTGTCGGTGCATGGGCAGCAACTAGGGAATAGTTATGTAGTTGTCCTTTGATTCTGATATAACAAAGTCTTTCATTAACGGGTTTGAAAGTTAAAACTGACCCCACAAGACTTTCCCTGACTATAAAACCAGTTCCGAATTGATGTTCTCGTTCGCTTCCGCTGAAAAATACTACTGATTTATTAGTTTTTAGTGTACCTTCTCCAGTCCATCTAATCTCTTGTAGAGCAGTTATGTCCATGTTTCTGGATTCAAGTTCTTTGACCACCTGAGTTAGGGCTCCAGGCCGATATAGGCTTAGTACGTTCCAGGTTCCTATATTCATTGTCCTTTGTCGTCGCTTTTGTCGTCTTAAAAGATCCGTCCTTATCCGAGGCATGTGCTTCGTTTTCATAACTATGTTTTTTTACAAGAAGGAATAGTTAGTCCCTTGCTTAACCCTCCTCCTTTCTCATCCTGGACTTGGGACCAGGCAACGGCGGAGTTACCGTTACCTGAGCCTTCGGAGATATTAAATTTAATGTTTTCATTTTGAACTATCCCTTGGCAGACCAAAGTTTATTTTTTTATTGCTCCACTTAACGAGAGCTCGGACCTTTCAAATTTTTTGAATTGTTTATTGTTTTTTTCTGTTTAACATTCTTGAGTTGTAATAAATTTGACTTCTAAATTTTGTGTATTATTAAATACTTAATTGGGAATATCTTAAACTCTTTAAAACGTCAGTTTTTAGGAAAAATCATGAATGTCCGGTTAATTTTGCGCCCCGGTGTATATCCTTACATTTTTAGGTTTTCAGGAAAAAAAATTACAAACATTATGCAAAGTTAACATAAGACTAGGTACAATATCCCGTTAGTTTTCATCAAACTTGTTTTTGAAACTATTTGAACTATTTAGTAAAGTTTGTTTAGCAGTAAATGCCATCAAACTTGTTTTTGAAACTATTTGAACTATGTAGTAAAGTTTGTTTAGCAGTAAATGGTTGGCTTCAATAATTAGTACCAACTACAAACATCCCGGGTTAACCGATAATAATATAAAAGGCCTGGTTTCAGGTAACAATGACTTACCTGAGATACAAGGTCTTAACAATGGCCAAGTCAGATAAAATTAATAATATTTACGACCGCACTAATGATTGAAGTCAACCATTTTCTGCTAAACAAACTTTAACTTCTACTATAGCATCACTTAAACTGTTCCATTTATCAAACTCGATTAACTAAAAAGTTTTGTCTTACTTTAGGTTTAAAAGACTCCTTTTTCAATTTATAGTTATAATCTCTTAGTCTAGCATCTTCATTGATATTAAAAAAGTTTGATGTTCCCCAAAAATCCCCCTAAGAATTCTATGATAGTTAGCAAACAAAACTATATACAGGATAGCGGTATAAAAGTCGGAGATGTCGTACTGGATAGAGTAGAGAAACTCGTGTATCTCGGCAGTAATATCAATGTCAGCTGGTATCCAACCGTAGAAATTAAAAGCCGAATAGAACAAGCCCGAACCACTTTTTAAAAATGAGGAACGTACTGTGCAGCCACGATCTTAGCATTAACCTTCGAGTTTGAATGACACATTGCTATAATTTTTCAGTGCTACTATGCTATAGCATCTTTCATATAAAAATGCTTGCTCGTCACAATTTATGTAAAATGACGTCACTTATATTTAAAATTTCCAGAACGTCAACCTTAGAGTTCAAATTTTCCTAACAAAGCTAATAATACGAAACCCATACGGAACTGCTCGATCTTTCATAAGCGTCAACATGGTATAATAATCAGAAAAATGTAATCATCATTATATCAAACAACCAAAAACATTTGTTATTATTAATAATATAAATTTTATTAAATAACTCTTTAAGTCTGATATTCCACAAAATAATAATTTTAGTTAAATAGATTAGACAATTGTACGCAAATGATACGGGAATACTTCAAATTCTGTAGAAATTTTACGTCTGTAGAAAGGTGATAAGCTTTCATATACGATAGATTATTTTGAATAAGAAATACTGGCGGGACGTTTTTACTATTAAATCCCTAAAAGAGGTAAGTTTAACATTTACAGTCTTATTAATAAAAATTGCTTAGTCCGAAGTTAGCCTCGGACTTGTTAGTCCCAGATTAAGCGAGTACTAACTTCATTTTTAGAATGTTAATAATAAACATGGACTAAGCTCAGACTAACTAAACCTTCCTTAGTCCTAGGTACAACAAGTTTATGTTGGCAACCATTGCAAAAAAGAAGAAAAATCGAGAGAATTTTGTGAAAAAGAAGAAAAATAATTGAGAATTTGACAGTTAGCATAAGTTGGAGCACGTGGAGTTAATTTTAGTTGGACTGTGTTCTGAGAAAGTTTGTTTATATTTTATATTATTTTTTAAGTTTCTAAAACTTATAAATGAGGAGGTATATGTCCACGTCTGGAATCACCAGATAAATCATCTCTAAGAATATATATTATAAAAACTGCTGTAGCTTTTGAAAAGCGATATTTGCACTTAAATTCATTTTCTTCTAATTCTTCTAGAGGATTTTTTCTAATTTTATATATTTTAATATATGTCTTAGGTGAATATTATTTCGCTGATTTCTATATGGTCATTAAGTTGTTCTATTAATCTTAAGTCATTGATAAAATAATCGTCCATTATTAAATAATGTATAAATAATCAAAAACAATTCAGGTTATGAATACCAAAACGAAATTCAACTCAATGTCAAGTTAGTCACTCTCTAAACCTGCCACTACCTCGGATTAAATTTTAGTCTGAGACTAGCGAAGGATTAGCTTAGTCTGTCCTTAGTCGCTGTTTATTAATACGAAAAATGGATGTTATTGGTGTAGTCCTGGGACTAATGTTAGTCCAAGGTTAGTCTGTGTTTATTAATAAGAGAGTTAGAATATATAATTTTTTATTAAAATGCTTTCTTATGTATTTTAGTGTGTTGCATTGGTCTTAAAACTAAGTGTATTTACTGTTAATATAATAGTTTAATAAATAGTTGACATTTTAAAAATTCCTCAATTACTATTTTGATGTTTTGGCAACGCTGTGGGGGTCTGACGTCGTAAATCTTGAATGACGCGCAAGCATTTTTATATGAAAAATGCTATATGTGGTTATATAGACGAATACTACGAATAAGCTGGATCGACAGAGTTAGAAATTAGCAGGTCCTTAGAGCGTGAGCCTGGTCAATATATTAAAAAGGCGCAAGCTGGAATACTTCTGTCACATTATGAGACACCCTGAAAAATATGAATTTTTACATCTGACCCATAATACCTTTTAACCATTTCAGTAGAGATGTCAATTGTTGATAAACTGTTCATTGGAAACTGGTTTGGACACCTGCAGAGAATGCCTGAAAATAGATGCCCAAAAAAAGATAGAAAAATGTACTCCGTCCACTAGAAGAAAACTAGGTAGAGCAAGACGGTCTTGGAGAGAAGGTGCCGAAGATGCAAGGACCGCCAGAGATTTAAAAACTGAAGATTGCTTCGAAAGAAAACGCTGGAAATTAAGATTCGAGAAACGGCGCCAGCTGTAAAAAACTCGTCTATTATATATCTTATATGTACAATAACTTATTTGTTTACTTATTTGTATATTTTTGTGATATAATTGCGTATCTTCAGCTTTAAAAAATGTGATAAATACAAATAGTTAAACCCAAGAACGCTAATAAATTTGTATAGTTACCTGCATGTGGGAAAAAGCATAACTTTTGGTTTTCCTCTCCAACTTTTACTATTTTCATTTGTAAAGAATTGTGTTATACTGGTTACTGATAATTCATATTTTTTTTCCTCATCTACTCCAAAAATAAATGTATCATTGTTCATCTCACCACCATGGCTCATGATGATCACAGAGCAAATATCATAGTCAGGCTTTCCCTCTCCGGCAAATTTTTTTATTAACTCACGCATTTCCTACAAAATTATATTTACATTAATGTTCATAAGCACGGTTATAAAAATATTATTATAAGTAATATTTTTACATACACCGTGATATGCATCAACAAGATTCTTTAAGTTAGACCTAGGTACGCAAGAATAGTGTAGTATTTTTATTAATCTAATTTACAGTCTTTATTTATTCTCAAAGGTTCTATTTATATAACACTTACAAATTTATTAAAGTCTTTATTACAATATCCAATAATTTATTTCACAATATTTATTTATATTTATTTCCGGCTTGCACTTTAAACCCGATATTCAAAACTAGAACCAACTGTTTTCAACAAAATTCCCTCTTTAAATATAAAATACCGTTAATGGAGAATCCCTTCGAATTCGGACGGCGACACTCTCGAAAAGGGTGGAAGACAGAGAGATTTTTCAGCTGAGCGGCGAACTTACTATAATAGAATAGAATTATAAATAATATGTTTACAGTTTTATGAGTCATATTTATCGTAACATTGCCCCCATTTTAAAAGATGGTTCCTCCTGGAAGCTTGTCAGAACTGGAACTAGAACGGTATGCTGATATCGGCAACTTCTTTTACAACTTCCAGTTGTATCAAAATGACAAGGGACGGTCTTCTCTTCACACCAGTAACTATGCGGATTGCAAAAGACTAACAACTGGACGTCGGTGTCTTTAAAGATCTCCTCACCATACTTCGGATAACCCTCCAATCTAATTGGCGGCACTCCAACTTTGGCATGACTAACTTTTGCACGTCGGACTCTAGTATCTTTTGTTACTAGGTAGAAATGTAACGTGATGCATCTTGGAGTTTCAAGGCTTTCCCGGGAGCTGGCACTTGGCATTGAAGTTCTACAACTCGACCGAACTTTCTTCGAAAAACGGATGCCAAACATCCAGATATACATGTACAAAGATACACCAGATCTTTGATACTGGCCGGGATGAGAAGGGCCAGTGAGTAGTCATCGGGAAGCGCGAGTAGATCTTGCCTTTCTTCAGTGGTAACACCATGTCTTGCTTTGCCTGTACCTTCATAGGCACCCATGAATTGGACTTGGTTTACTTCCACTTCTTCATCTACGTCGTGATCACATTTGAAAGACGCCAGCCGGTTATGGTGTACTATCATGGGCCTTCCCCTCGGAATCTTGCTTATTCGGTAGATGACATCATTGATTTTCTCCATAATAAGGTATGGACCTTCCCAAAACTGCTGCAACTTGGGAGAACAACCTTTTCGCTTCTAGGGATTATAGAGCCAGACTTTGTCGTTCTTCTTAAAACACCCCTTTTCGACTTGCGTATCGTACCGTTTCTTCATTCGGTCACTAGCGACCTGAAGATGGGAACTGACCAAATCGTGTACATCGTCCATTCTTCTTCGTAATTCGATCACATAATCTTCACCTGCTACATCTTCTCCAGGTCGACACCCAAACTTTAGATCACAAGGTAGTCGCATCTCGCGTCCGAATGGGTTTCTGGCTGGTGTCTGGCCTGTTGATTCGTTAACAGCAGATCTGTAGGCTATTGTGAAGAACGGAAGATATTGGTCCCAGTCTCGATGATGATCGGACACCATCTTTGTCAAATACTTGCCAACTATCCTATTCATCCGTTCTACCATACCATCCGACTGCGGATATGCTGTAGTTTCTGTTTTCTTCATGCCTAGTCTATCACATATTCCTTGGAGTAGATCGCTTTCGAAGTTCTTTTCTTGGTCACTATGGATCTCCAAAGGCACTCCAAATCGGCTGATATATTCTTGGATCAACTTATCTGCAATGGTGGCGGCCTCATGGTCTGGAAGTGCGTAAATCTCGACCCACTTAGTGAAGTAATCCATTTGTAATCCCAACATGTACTTGTCTCCATTTTCACTTTCTGGAAATGGCCCAGCAATGTCCAAAGCTATTCTTTCAAACGGGCTTCCAACATTATATTGTCTCATAGGAGCTCTCCTTTTTCGGTAAGGCCCGTTATTCTTAGCACAAATAGTACATTTCCTATACCACTCTTTTACGTCGTCGTAACTGTTCATCCAATAAAACCGTTCCCGAACTCGCCGAAGGGTCTTCTTTACACCAAAATGTCCTCCTGATAGACTGTCGTGTAACTGACGAAATACTTCAGCTATTCTTCTCTTTGGGATCACCAACTGTCTTCTCTTCTCTGCACCGTCCTCATTTTCCAGTACTTGTTTGAGCAAGCTATCTTCCATGATAAATGAGTCCCACTGGGCCCAATACGTCTTAACGACTGAGCATAAGTTTGATATTTCTTGCCAAGGTGGTCGACGGTTTTCCTCCTTCCATTTTCGAATTTTCTGTACAACTGGATCTCTCTCTTGTTCTTCCCTTATCTTAGTCGGCGTCCAGTCGTCGTTGACTATCGTTCAAGAGAATCAGCGTTTCTGTGGCTAACTCCGGCCGGTGCTCAATCTTGAAATCGTATTCTTGGAGTCGTTCGATCCATCTGGATATCTGACCAGTCTCCTATTGGCTTGGTGTTCTAGCAGAGGTTGGAGTAAGGAGTTACTATGTGATTCCAGTGCTTCATGGTGTTTCGTGCTGTATTTAGTGATTACATCCTGTACGAACGGGATTCCTAGGTCTTCATGAAGTGTTAGGTTTGACACATACCAAGGTGCATCAACTATCGTTCGGAGTATTTTTGATTGACATCTTTGAATTATGGCTGTGTTTGACGTGCTCGCACATCCCCGACGGGATTTATGACGGTTTATGACGGTTTTGTATAAAAGGATTTTGTTTTCAAAGCTCAGTTTCGATTTTCTGCCTACTAACCAGTTAAGATATTTCATTCTTAGGTCAATTTGTTTTCGCTTCTTAAGAATACGTTCTTTCCAGGTGAGTTTTGAGTCAAGATGTATTCCTAGGTATTTAGTGCTAGAGGATTGGAGAAGTTGGATATTGTTAAGTGAAACTGGGGGACACGGGTCTCTTCTCAAGGTAAAAGTCACTTGGACTGATTTTGTTTCATTCATTTTAATTTTCCACTTGTAAGACTATGTCTTACCCTTCCATTATAAGTCGTAGGAAGTTGTATCTCTCTCATCTGTAAATATGTCCCAGATAACTCGTTTTCCTGTTTTTTACAATATTTAGGAGTTCTCTTTCAGTACCCATTCTTCTCAGCACCTCGTTGTTGGCCACGTGCTCTGTCCAAGAGATCTTCAGTATCCTACGAAAAACCCACATCTCAAAGGCTTCTATACGCCTCATACTTGTAATTCCGAAAGTCCATGTTTCCACTCCGTATAGCAATATGGAATAAATAAACGTTTTTACAAATTGGTATCGGATATCCAACGATAACGTTGGATAGGAATTTATTAGAAATTTTTTCACTCGTTGGAATGCGGACCTAGCATATTCTAAACGAGCACGTATTTAGACCTCGTGGTCAAGATCGTTTGTTATCCAGCAACCAAGATACTGGAATCTTTGTACTGGTTCTATATGTTTGTTATAGATACGAATATTAATGTCGATATTTGGTGCACGTGTAACAGCCATTACTTTTGTTTTATTTGTATTTATATTTAGTCCCAAGCTATCTCCCTCTCTGGTTATGAAATTCAAAAGTCGTTGTAAACCCTCAGCACTGTCCGCAGTAATAATGGTGTCGTCTTCGTATCCTAAGTTGTTCACGTATTCTCCGTTGATTTTTATTTCTCCTTCAATATTTTCGAGGGCATTTTGAAAGATCTTTTCGGAATATATATTATATAACAGTGGAGAAAGTACACAGCCCTGACGAACTCCTCTTTTTATTGGCAATTCTGCTGTCAGACGATTGTCTATTTTGATCGACGCCATTTGATCCCAATAAAGTTTTTTAATTTTTAATAAGTGCTACAGTGTTATGGTCTATACCATGTTGTGTTAGGGTTTCTATGAGTTCTGTGTGTTTTACTCTATCAAACGCTTTTTCGTAGTCGATAAAACAGAGAAACACGTCTTTTCGCTGATCTCAGCATTTTTGCAATAATATCTGGAAGTCAAATAATGCCTCCCTTGTACCAAGCCCCATCCGAAATCCAAATTGATTGTCGCTCAGGTTTCTTTCGCATTCTCTGTATATTCGTTAATGTACAATTTTGAGTAAAATTTTCAGAAAATGGCTCATCAGGCTAATTAATCTGAACTGTGAGCATCTATTTGCTTTATTTTTCTTGGGTATAGGTATAAATGTCGATCTAAGCCAGTCTTCTGGGAAGATTCCAGTGGTATATATTTTGTTAAATAATATTGTTAACGTCTGAAGATTTTCTTCATTGATAAGTTTTATCATCTCTATGTATATTTCATCTGGACCGGTGGCTTTTCGTGGCTTTGCCATATTGATTGTTTTTGTAACTTCCGATGTTAATATATCAAGTATTGTTTCTTGTACTATATTTATTTGTGGTTCTGTTCTCTCGTCATCAAACAGATCTTCGATGTATTTTTCCCACATATTTCCTACATTTTCTGGACTAGATACTATTTTGTTATCATCTACTAAAGTTGTTGTAGTGATTTTTTTCTTCATATTTGTGACTTCCTTAATCTTTTGGTACGCATTAAAGTAGTCATGCTTTTTTAGTAAATCTCCCAGTTCCTCACACTTGCTGCTCATCCATTCTTCTTTGGCTTTCCTAATTTTGTTTCGGATGATTCTCTGGGTTTCTTTATATTTTTCTTCATTGCGATTTTTGTAAGATATCCTTATGTCCATCAGTTCTAGGACTTCTTGTCATCCATGTATTCTTTGTTTTTCTGATGTTGTCTTGTAGTTGTCCTCTTTGTATAGTTGTGATTGTTGTTTTGAAGGTGTGCCAAATACTTTCTATTGTTTCTTCTGCTTCCGCCGGTGCTTCACTGAACTTTTCTTTGAGTGTATCATTGAGTGTTTTCTCTATTTCTGCCTGTACTATTGGATCTTCAAGTTTTTCGAGGCTAGGTTTTATCTTCTCTCTGTATTTGATTGTCTTTAGTTTAATTGAAATTTTACCAACAACAGGATTGTGGTCGGAACCGATGACCGCCTCGGGATATGTTTTAACTCCCCTGATTCCATTTCTATAACGTTTGTCAATTAATATATAATCAAGCTGGTTTCTTATTATGCGGTTTTGATTATCGCCAGGTGCTTTCCATGTATATCTTCTTTTGGGTTGTTTAAACCACGTGTTTGCGATCATTAGATTTTCTTCTTGTCAAAATTGGACCAGTATTTCTCCTCTATCATTTTTTTTGGTCCAAACCAAAGTTTCCTACTATGTCTTCGGTCCGCCCTTCACCTACTTTGGCATTAAAATCTCCCATAATAATGTTTATAGCATTTTTCTTTGTGATCTTCAGTAGCTGTTTGATCCCTTGGTAGAATTCTCGTACTTCTCTTTCTGGTTTTTCTGCTGTAGGAGCATATACTTGAATAAAGTTAATATTACGAGGAGTGGTATTAATTTGCAGCATAGCTACTCTATCAGATAAAGGTATAAAGTTCTTTATACATTTACTACTTTTCTGGTCAACTATAAATACCACTCCTTTATAATTATGAGGATCGTCATGACCAGCATAGTATATTACATGGTTATCGATGTTTGTCTATTCAGATCCAGGCCATCTAACTTCACTGACTCCGAGAATGTTGACTCCCATTCTTTTCATTTCTTTCACAATGTTATGAGATTTTCCTGGCATAAAGAGAGATTTTGCATTCCAGGTTCCAATTTTTAACTTGTAATTTTTGTTTTCCACTTTCGGATGGTTCCTAGCATTTGTCGTGGGGATTCTTAGCACCCCTTGACCATCTAAGGTCTGCCATGGACTAGGGGCCTTTTGTATTCCGTAACTTGCCATAGTTATAATATCTTGAGAATATTTAGTGTGTTGGTTTCTCCTTGCCTTACACACCGTAGTATTATAACCCCTACTTAAAATCCCTATTTAGTTCAGAACTCTTCCTCCACAAAAGCTGATACCAGCCACGGGTTATACAGATAGAACACATATAATATTGGTCCAAGAAAGCTGCCCTGTGGAACACCAGCTTTTATAGGAAAATTAATGAAATTATTTTCATTCACTCTTGTTCGGAAATCTTTCCCACTCAGATAAGATGTTAACAGTTTCAGGTACGTGATGGGTAAATTTTTCTTGATTTTGAAAATCAGGCCTGTATACCAAACCTTATCAAAGGCTTGACTAACATCTAGAAAAGCAACTTTGTAGTAGTGTTTGCTTTCCATTGCAGAATTTATGGTGTGTACTATTCTATAAACCTGCTGTATTGTCGAGTGGTTGTTTTCGAAAGCCAAATTGGTGGTTGGGTATCCATTCCTCCGTATTGGAGTTTGAGTTAATTATTTTAAACAGTAACATTTCAAGTATTATGGATACGACTGGTAGTAGGTATATTGGCCTATATGATGAAACCTCGTTTGGATTTTTTCCTGCCTTTGGGATTAGTATTATTTTAGCGGTTTTAAAGAGCTTTGACCCGTAGTTCTTTCATCCTGGTATTTCTTATCTGGTAGTTCTTTCATCATCTTGGGTGTTATTTTGTCCAGCCCAGGAGCTTTTCTAATGTTTAAATATTGGATTTCTTGTTGAACTTCATTTTTAGTTAGTGGTCTGATTACTGGTATGTTCTCTGGAATGTTATTTATGTCCCTTTCAATTTCAATATATGGAGCGTCATTGTTGGGAGTAAATACTTGAGCTATATGCTCGGCAAATAGCGTTGTTTTTTCTTCATCACTTCTGACCCACTGTAGTATTGGTTCCTGTTCGTTTCTAATTGGAGGTACCGTAGTCTTGGGTTTTTTGGAGTTTTTGATCGGTCTCCATATTGAGTTATTGTACCGGTTTAGATTTGTTATGTAGTTTGTAAATGACAGTTCTTGTGCCACTTTAAGTTTGGATTTTAGTTGATTGCTTAGCCTGTTTAATGTAGTCGTGTCTGCTGGAGCATGGGTTTGGTGCCATTTGGTCCTAGTTTTCCTTTTTTAAGCTACCAACTTTTTAATTTCGGCTTGAATGTATTGGGCTTTGCTACCTGTATTGTTTGTAGGCCTAGCATTTTGTACGGCCTCTATAAGAGTGTTGTTAAATGTTTAAGTTAAAGCCGTTAACGTTTCGTCTATATCTCTTGTTATTTTGAGGCTTACTTGTAGACTAATATCTTCTTTTAATTTGCTGCGGTATTTTTCCCAGTGTGTAGCCTTGGTGTGGCCGTTTTGTAGACTATAAAGCTGCTGATGGTTGCTATAATTGGAGTCCAATGAGAGATCATAGTTCGGCATGACCTCCATGTAACCAGGAGAGATCCCCTGAGTGATAAATATATCCAGCAGATCAGGTATTTTGTTTGGATCCGTTGGCCAGTATGTAGGAGAGCCTGTTGATAAAGGGTGGTAGTTGTTTTTATGTATTAGGCTTACTAGTTCTCTGCCTTTAGTTGTTGTGAGACGAGATCCAAATAATATATGTTTGCTGTTGAAGTCTTCAACTGCAATAAATTTATGTCCTAGAATTTCGAAGAAGTTTTTGAAGTCTTATTTCTTTAAGTTATATTGGGGTGGACAGTAGACTGCTGCGAGTGTTATTTCATAAGACCTCATACTGCCTTTGATAACTGTAGCTTGCAAGCAATTTTCAGTATACTTTGGTAGTTCTGCATGTTTAATAGTATTTTTTATCAGAATAGCTGATCCAGTGTGGGCTGTATTGTCGGGGTGGTTTGAGGAATCGGTTGTGTAGTGCGATATTTTGAAGTAAGTTTGACTTGTGAAATGGCTTTCACTTATTAACGTCAAGAATGTCAATTTCTTTGTGTAGTAGAAATAACTCAACCTCATTTTTGTGCTTTGGAATTCCATTGGCATTCCACTCTGCTATTTTAATGGAGCTATTGAATTTTAGATATAAGCGTTGTCAGCATGTTTGAGGCCATGCTGTTTTGTTGTAGTAATTGTTGGAACATGTTTTTGAATTTCTCTAACAATTTGTTCATCATGTCATTAATGTTTGATTGTTGTTCAGTACCATTTCTTACTGCATTAGCATAGCTGCCAGCACAGATACCAATATTAAAATCCACAAACACTCTTCCCGAAAAAAACACGAAAAAAGAAAAGCAACGAACAACGACACGCCCCTCACGCCGAAACCAGTGGAGGGGAGGCAAATAGAAAATATAAATATGGCCTCCGTAGTACAATGCAGCGACAGTTTCAGCTTACAAGCGAAGCAGCAACATCTCCAGAAGATGCCAACCCCTAGTGTTGGCGAAACGTCGAGAGCTAATCTCAGAAGACAACGGCCTAACAGCCCGAATAAACAGTTTAACAAGTTAGACGATGGCCGTGAAAGCCTAACGCATTTTATCAGGTAGATTTTTATTCCAAAAAGGTCATCTTTTATCGATATAGACATTGGACATTAGCCGACCCATCCTCTCCATTATCACAAACCTTTGATCTATGATTTTTCTTTTCATATTAACGTTCTTGTGAAAAAGTATCATTTTATTAAAAGTCTACGACAAAAACTACATTGAATAAAATTTGCAAAAAGTTTATTTATTTGAACTGTTGTTGGATACTGTATGGATACTGCAAGGTGAGCAGCGAAGTTATTTAATCAACAATTTAATTAATGATTATAATATTAAAAAAGAAGTAATTAAAATACAGGAGTTGTCCAACATGCATATGCAGGTGTCCATAGCATGAAATGCAGATATAATTTAAGAGATCTAAGAGGCACGTGAAAGTTGGCCATTTCAATAGATTTATGCATGAAGAAAATTGTGTTTGGGCAGATTAGAGCTAAGCGAAGGGTTGTCTATGTAAAAACTGTTGAAAAATTCTGGTGGTATAAGATTTTCTTTGTAACCATTAGAACCAGTTTTTGTGGTGAAATCATAATGCATGTATCCCACACAACAAATAAATCAATATTGAAAAACTTGAATATTAAGAAAATGGAAAGGATGCCTATAACGAAATTATTCTACAGATATATTTTGAAGAATTTTGAGTTACACGAAAGAGTAGAAGGTAAAAAAGTTCAGGCAGATCTTGCAAAAAAAAACACCGACCATATTCCTGTTACATTGTTAGAAATGTACAAGAATGATGGAAGACAAAGAAAATGAAGGGTGTGGTTGACAACCTGACCAGCTTCAATATGAAGAAACTACTTTTAACCTCTAGTTATTACTTACCAAAGCAGTCTTATTATAATGGCAGTATAAATCCCATCCGCCCATTTGTTGAAACAAAGCTTTTAAATTCTTATCGTCAACTAACGCTCCATTTCTGTAAGGGTGTTCTTTTTTATTCTTAAATGCATAGTTATTAATAATAAGTACTCTGCCTCTCTTCTTAGACCGTGAACTATAAAAGCTTATTTTCCTATTTTTTTCTTCAGTATCAAACAGCTTCGTAGAATGGATAACTCGAACTTTTAATGGGCTTGTTGTATTGTTTACTGAAATTCCAAGATTGCTAAAAACTGGTTCTGGTTCTGGTGGTTCACTATCGGGCGGATTAAGCATGGGAATAAACACAGTAGGTCCTTTTCTGCAAAGTAATTGAACTATATTCGCTTGGTTAGTTTCTTTCAATGCATCTAAGAAAGGAACCCATGCATTATTTTTTTTTAAAAGATTGAAGAAAAACATTCTTTTGGTATGCCTTGCATCATCTGCCTGTAAGAATAAAAACTGATTATTATAAATGAATTCTGGATGACTATATCTTGGACGTATAAAAAGCAGTGTATATATATATATATATATATATATATATATATATATATATATATATATATATATATATATATATATATATATATATAGATATATATATTGATTTTTAGTCCCAGCAATTGGTCTGTGGGAAATAAAACTCTATTTGTTATTTCTCAATATTTCGTCACGATTTTGTGACTTCTTCAGGAGAAAACTGTAAATTTATTATAATTATTATATGTAAACAAAATGAATATTTCAATACTTACAACTACAAGAATAAAAATTTAGATTTTGATAACATATCTACTTAAATAAATGACATTTTTGATTTTAATTTATTTGGGAGTTATGGTATCCGCAATATTTTATAGAGTGAATTCCCATTGTACAATTTTTAGTGAATAAGTTAAAATAAACAATTATTATGACAGTATTATCCATATGATAAGGTGGAAAAGTAGAGGATTGAGAAAGAATCAGGAACATGGTAAATTGATCTATAAAATGTAATTGATGGTACGTAGTATATATAGATACCCATAAACCATAACCCATAACCATAAATAAATTAAAATCAAGAATGTCATTTATTTAAGTAGATATGTTATCAAAATCTAAATTTTTAATCTTATAGTTGTAAGTATTGAAATATTATTTTGTTTACATATAATAATTATAATAAATTTACAGTTTTCTCCTGAAGAAGTCACAAAATCGTGACGAAATATTGAGAAATAACAAGAGTTTTATTTCCCACAGACCAAATTGCTGAGACTACAAATCAACATTTAACACAGTACGGTCGAAAATAATATTGGTTTGCTTTTAATATATTTCAAAGTACAAAATAAAAAGATATTTCGAAGAAATGAAAGTCCATTATCCTGGATTACCTGTAGTAAACAAAATTTAAAGATATGCATAAATTAATTTCTTTGTAAAATATATTCGAGTGACGTGAGTGAGCTTAGTGAAAACGTGAACAATGCGAGCGGGTTTTCCAAATACACTTGTACGTCGATATACAGTGAATAAGACAATATAATAGCAATATTTAGAAAATACAATTCTCCGTTAGTTCTTAAGAATTTGTAGAAACCGATTAGCATGTTAATAGTTTTTAGGAAATTTATAATTGTAGGTAAAATTGTTGTTTGTTATCTAAATGATAGATGGAGATAAGTATGACGAACTTTGATTGGAGGAGATTGAAAGAAGTGGGATAAGTATGTAGGAATGAGAGTTTAGCTAGATTTTGAGGGAGAAAAGAATGAGTTGTTTTTCCAAGGGTGCAAGGCGAACAGTCGTTTTTCTCTGGTGGGTCCCGAGAGGTAGTAAGCAGTAGAAGTGAATGTTTGTCACAAAAGAGTTTTCGTGGAGTAAGTGTATCTGACAGAAGCTGATCCAGTAAAATATTGTAAGTTATATTTTTCTACTTGTATTCCAAGAGTCACTGTGCAGGTCAGAACGAGAGATTCAGTTTATCGAGAGGAAAAGAGGCTAGCATCATTTGAACGATACATGCATTTGAAGGAGATCATTAAAGACGATAGGCTAGCAATAATTTGTTGTAAGAGTGCTGATTACCTAGGGGACTGCTAGGAATAGATAGTGTAGGCTACAAGGAACAAAGATTTGGACAACTCATCATCAGAGAGATAGTTTTACCATTCGTCAGTTTTTCTTTATTAATAACACATTTTTTTAACAATTGCTTTAGAAAAGAGAGAAATATTTTGATCGGGAGATTTAGAATAACAAGTTCGATTTGAAATTTAGAAAAAAATTTTGATAATCATTATATGAGATATTTTTTATTGAAGATATTTGAGTGTGAATTTTATTTCAATATATAATGTTGTATCATATATGTTTTTATTATTTCGGTATTCTTCGGACCTTACCTATCATATGTGAAGCATAGATATTTAAGCACGAGTGTAACCCTGAGATAAGAAAAGTAAATAGTGTGATAGAATCATAATTGCATCATTTAAATAAGTTTAATTAATTAATTAATTAGCTGATTAATTGCTTGGCGCACCTCAGACTTTTAATATCACATTAATATATATATATACATATTGAGATAATATTAAATGTAGGAGCAACGAAGGTAATCTAGAATGAACTTAAATAGTGATTAAAGAAATAATTTATAAGTTATATACTAGAGAATATTATAAAAAGTATTTATATGAGGGCATTCTTAAGAAATTAGCATAATAATAAGTTTAAAAAGTTTTTATTTTGCAAAGTATTTGGTTATTTTAATAATTATGAGATTATAAATATATTTGAATACTCCATAGATATAGGCAACCAAATATACACTGAAGTAAATTTGGTTGTGGGAACTTTTGTGAATAAGTGTTATTTATTAATTTAAGATGTTTAATTTATATATAAGTTTACATTCTGATCTGAAAAGCCTACATTTTCATAAAATTTTCGATAGCAAAGTATTATTGGAGTCTATGGAATCTATGAAATAGTAGGATTCGAATATATTTTCTTTCAAGAATATTCGTGAACATTGAAATGATATAAATACTCTGTAGATTTGGAGGAAAGGACAGTATATAGTATGCAGTGGTCAGTATTAGAATATTAAAGTCAGTAATGCAGTATTCAAGATAGTCAGTAATCAGTGATTTAGTATTAAAGTTTTATAGTATTGGAAAGTATAATAGATGAAGATTAAAAAATAGTGTTAGGAGAATATTAGTTGGAGATTAAAAATTATATTATTTATATAGAGATTGTATATTGAAAAAAATATATATTAGAAAGAAGAATAAACAAGACAGCAATAAAGAAAGAAGAATATTTTGCCGATTTATAAATCCTATTAAGAAGAAAAATATTTTAAAATGGTGGAAGCTGATAATTAAAACATTGTGGTGTATTTGGTAAATCTAATGTAATATGTGTAATATCTTTCTGAAGGATTTGCCTGAGGGTGTCTGATACTTGTTAAATGAATTTTGATCCCCCTTTTCTCACAAAATGACCGAAATTTTTGGTTGTTAAAATATGTAGCGTTATCTATTATGTAATTTCTAAATGGTCCTATTTCTTCGAAAAACTGAATAATATATTGTTACGATAATTATGGCGTTTATAACTATCAATATATTATGACTAATTCTGTTTTCTGTTCCAGTAAATTCGAAGTTGTTTACAGAAACCTTTAGACCCTAATTTTATGAGTAATCCACGTCTCGAGGCTTTTCGAACAGTTGAAAAACGATTCGAGCGCCTTCACCAAAATACGAGATTATTCAAGAAGTATTCCAGAAGACATGATGGAAAAGTTGGCCGTTCAAACGTTTATTGATGGTCTTCGTGATCATGAGATGCAAAGAACACTACGATTAGCTCGTCACAAGACGCTGATGGATGTCTTATCTGCCGCCCTCGAATACGAGTCAGCTACGCTAGCCTCTGGCGGGTACAGTAAAGTTAGAACTGTAAAAGAGGAAGGAGACGAAGATAAACTTGACCAGCTCTTTAATATGATAAAAAGCATGACACACAAGAAAACGAAGACCATAAGACCGAAGACAAAACCAGAACGCGTCGGCCTTAGGGGAGCAGCTTCGACCCAGAACTTTACCAAAGACCCTCTGATACTAATAGCTTCTTTGAAATGTCGTGAAGATAGTGTATATGTAGATGGAGAAATAAATGGTAAAAAGCATACGTTGTTGGTGAATACTGGAGCGACCAGAACCATTATACGCCCGACAGTTATAAACAGCCGAAAGAAACTGTTACCAACGAGGTTGCGACTTCAGACCGCCACAGGTGAAAATGCCAACATTCATGGAGAAATCCAGGTACAATTAGGAATTGGAGCAGAAAAGTTCGTCCATACTGTTATAGTTGCTGACATCGAAGAGGATGTTATATTAGGAATGGACGTAATGAATACGCATGGATTCCAATTGGATTTTAAGAATAAGGTAATCAAAGTTGGTAACGAGGAGGTATTTCTCCATCCACATGATGACAACACTATGCAAGCAGCCGTTAAAGAAGATACAGTCGTGCCTGCAAGAAGTGAAACGATAATAGTAGCGCGGCTACAGGGAATTGTGGACGAAGGAACACCTGTTATGATGGAGCCTTGGAATCATGACGACGAAGTTGGCCGTGGAATCATAATTGGAAAAGAATTAATGACTTCGGCTAAAGAAATTCCTGTGAGACTTATTAATGTCAATGACTACCCAGTGACCATCAAGAAAGAGACAAAAGTAGGAACTTGTGTACCTGTCACATCCATAATCCGTCAGACGACAACGTCTGATAATTCCAACGATAAATTTGATCAAATGGTTGCGGTTGCTGGACAGTCTCTGAATCAGATTGAGAAAAGGAAATTAAGGGAATTTCTTCGGCAGTATCGTGATATTTTCGTACCGAAAGGAGGAAAGACGGGAAGAACTACCGTTGTTAAGCATAAAATTGATACTGGTAATGCTAAGCCAATTCGTCAAACAGCTCGACGATTACCACAGGCGAAAAGAGAGGAAGCTGAAACGATTGTTCAGGAAATGAAGAAAGACGGGGTGATAGAACCTTCTACGAGCCCATGGGTCTCTCCGGTGGTCCTGGTTAAGAAGAAAGACGGAACAACGAGGTTCTGTGTGGATTACCGTTTGCTGAACAACGTTACCAAGAAAGATAGTTATCCTCTGCCTCGGATCGATGACACATTAGACACATTGGCTGGAAGTAAATTATTTTCTACTTTGGACTTGAAGTCTGGATACTGGCAGGTAGAAATGGACCCGGTAGATAAAGAAAAGACAGCCTTCACCACAGGATCTGGATTATGGCAATTCAACGTTATGCCATTTGGACTTTGTAACGCTCCTGCGACATTTGAGAGGCTTATGGAAAATGTGTTGAGAGGGTTATCTTGGAAAACATGCCTAGTTTATCTA